AGTGGGAATCAACTTCACAAATGGTAAAGGCGCAAAGATACACGAGTTAAATACCTGCTGCTGCTGCTGCTGCTGCTGCTGGAGAGTATCAATTCATATCAGACAATAACAGTGCAATATTACACATCTTTACTCAGAACTAAACACCATTAAGTTCAATGGAACTTATATCCAAGTAGGTGTGTACAGGATAACATCCCAACCATGTTCAATTTGAAGCTACTTTATTAAAGTGTACTGCATCTAAAATAAGCTAAAACAAAAAACAAAAAAGACTAGATGTGACCAGATGCACTTATGCCTCTTCCATAAAATGTTTTAAATATATATGTTATATCCAGACAAAAATAGCAAAAGAGTTTTATGTTAAGTTTTTGTAAAATTTGGATTATTTTTAGGCAGTCTTTGAGGATCAAAACTATTGCACTCTTACCCACCCCTAACAGTTTTAAGGTAAAATATGCAGTGCTATCTACATTACACAGAATAACTATTTTTGTGCTCAAAAACTTTTGGGCAGCTAATATGTTAACTCAAAAAAATCAACTGGATCCTTTAAGTCAAAATGGGAGCATTATACAGTTGCTGGTTTTTTTGTGGGCAGAAATTTTGCATCCTTAGCAATGGGGAATCTGCTAGAAATTCAACAAATGGAGCCTCCTTCAAAAAAGCAAAAACTTGCTTGTCACGTGGCTGGTAAGGCACCAGTCTCTCTAGGGGAAAAAATTGAACAGTCCACAAATTCAAGAATACGACATGCAGAATTTCCTATGAACTGTACCTGAAGATACCCAATTAGTAATGCTGTCAAAACTTAAGGTTGATCTGCATCAATCTGAAATTAATATAGAAACAACTGAATGATGTGCAAAACTACTTTTTTAGATTATAACTTTCAAAAACAGAGCATGCATTTCTAAGCAAAGGTTACCACCCCCACCCAATATATTTGTTTATGTATTCCAACTTTATTTTTCTGGGAATCTTGATCTGAAGCCCATTTCTTCGACAGTACTTTCTACAGAAAGAAATGAAATTTGCTTCCAAGTGTAAATATTTAGGATTTTTAATGGGAATTACTCACAAAATGTACCTTTTTCAAATGAAGCCAAAATGTTTCAGCTATATTTAAATTCCCAGGTAATTAAAACTGGAGAGATTACGACCTATCCATGTAGTTATTACACAGCACCAAACTTTTTAATATCTACATACCAATATGTTTTTCAGAACTGGATATCTTTTGTGGTCTCTGGCAGGAGAAAGGGGTTCCATTTAAAATTAACATTTGTATATGAATTAAACTTTTTAAATTCTACAAAAATTTTGTTGGGACTTCCATTTTTTGTACTCTATAGAAAATAATGCTCAATTGAAAATGAAGCAGAGCTTATTAGGAACACAGGGCAGATATCCAAAGTCTCCTGGTCTGAATTAATGCCACCAGCAGTATTCAACAGCAACCTTCTAAAAGTATACTTGGGGCACTGGTTAACCTTACTTAAAGTTCTACACAGTCAAAATGGAACTAAAAACATGTCTGTCCGCCTCTTTTACTGAGGCCTTTTAAAAGCCTTTTCACAGTGAAACCCTGTTTACTGGGTTATACCCACAACCTTCCTGAAAGTATTTTGACTATGACTCTTAAGGAGCTCTATCTGCAAAACCTCTGCCTAACAGATACACTATTTTAAGCATAGAAATCTGCACAGTGCTTGCATCCAGACTATACAGTACACTGGATCATGTAATATAATGAACTGGGCTACTACGTGGAACATAATTACCTTAAACAAAGAAAATTATTACTTTAACATTTTAAAAATGTTTTTCACAGTTAAGCTATTCAACAATATTTGATACTATGCGCTGATGATGTATACCCAAGTTCCAAATACAGTATCTCCAATGCGGAGTTCCTCATATAGACTATGTCTGAGAAGAATCCTCTCAGCAAAATAGTTGGCTTACCATGTCAGCTTTGGCAGTACTGATTACCCAAAGGGAAAATAAATGCTAGTAATCAGACTTCCACCAAAAACAAATAATATTCAAAAGCAGTGGTGTGAGGCTTAAAATGTACAGTATTTTTTTTCCTGGAAAAATTACCAAGTAATACGTTCATTAGTAACAATGAATTGATTCCAATTTCAAAACAATAATAGGTAATGTTGGCAGTTTCAAAGATGTAAGTAACCTTTTTCAGATTATTCCTAACAAATATACTAGGGCATATATGTCACTGAAATATGTATCTATATGTGGAAGGGAACTAAGGCTTAGTGACAGTTCCCCAACAACTATAATGGAGGAGAGCAGAACTCTGCTATCACTAATGGATAGTTGTTGGTGTATCTTTTGATTTGGTAAAATTAATTGGTACAGCCTTCCCCAAGCTGCTACCATCCAGGGTAAAGCATTCTGGGAGCTGTACTCCACCACATTTGAAGGACATGAGGGTGGAAAGAAATGAATTAGCATGTCAGAAATGTTCAGTACCTTTGTTTATTTCTTGCATTTAAACAGTACAGGAAATATATCTTTAAATACTGTCTTTAAATTTATGGAAGTATTCCAATAAAATATGCATATAATGTTTAAAACATATTTAGGATTATTTAATTTTTTCATCTGAAATACTTCATGTCCCACACTTGTGTACTGAGATATGAAAAGAAGATGGGGTACTTTTTAGCTTTGTTGCTTATTTTACTTGTATTTAATAAACATGTTAAATGAGATCACTTTTTAGTAATTTTCTGAAGCAAACTGAAAATATTCTAGTGCTAGTTTGCATAGGATTTTTTCTGGAAATTTTTCCAATTCAAAAATTTCCAGAAGACCTACATCACTGGTCAAAGTTAACAAAACATCCCATGTATTCAGCAGTGTTGGTAGCACAACAGTACCACATAGACAGGCCCATCACTAGGATATAGGTGTTCCCTACTGTCCTACACATGCAGAGATTGAGTAGAATTCAATGGTGCAATTCCATAGGATCCAACAAGCATCTTTAGAAAGAGAACTGATTTTCCCTTTTCCCCTGCAACCTTGTTTCCAGCTTTTGGGGTGTTCTAGAGGGTCTCCTAATCCTTTGGAACAAATTTTCAGGGACTGCAGAAATAAGAGGGTATAAGAGAAAACCTGGTTCTTCTCTTCCACTAACAGAAGCATTCCACTGGATCAAAAGCTGAACAAGTGGAACAGCACCTCTGGATTCCACACTCAGTCTAGAACTTAACAAAAACTATGGTCAGGACATGAACACTCTATCTGGATTCAAAATGTACAGAATATGTCCAATTAATTTACAGCAAATTTTCCAATGCATAAATATACTTAGAACAGCACCTCTTGTGAATCCTAATTTAATATCAGATTACAGGCTGCCAGGTATAATGCTACCATCCATGAATTGAAATCAATATTCAGTCTTAATTAACTAGCAATTTTTAAAATCAGCAATATTTAAATGATAATTTCAAATTAAGGGGTTATTTTCCAACTATGTAAACATTTTCCCCAAATACTCAACAATTCTTGAAAATCTACAATTTGTCCTTTTTCTAAAATTAAACAACTGAATAACTGCTTTGTAGTTATCTCACTTTTGAGAATATGGTAGTAATATAGGTATTAAAATTAGATTTATATTCAACGTCATGAAACATTTTAACATTTCCCATTTTAATTATAAAAATTCCCAATCTCCAAAAGAAATCATGTACCCATACTTGGAAGCTATGCTATCATTCACAAAAGCTACTATCATTTATTAAAACCTTCAGGGGAACATGTATTCCACATATCCACCAATGGATAAATAACAGAAGTCAATTTACAAGCATAGCTATAAGAAACTTGCAGATGTTATCAGCAACTGTATAATACCTTTGTAGAATTTGACAGAAAAATAATTCTAGGTTATAATTGGGTATGAAGCAAAAGATAAATATTTTTCCAAGCATTCCACCTCATTTCAGTGTTCAGTAATGAACTAATACATTGTTCGTGCTTAACAGCTGTTACTGAAGGGAAAATGAGCAGAAATACGTTTCTCACACACACATTCTCATGTGCACAATACACACATTTCTCTCCCTAGTGCTACTATAAATATTATATGGACCTGTACTTCTCAAGGACTAAGTTGGGCAACACAGGATTCTCTCCATTCACAAAGAAATAAGCATTCATTCTTGGAATTGACTACCACATCCATAAATCGATACAGTCTGAACATTACTGGCAGAGTTGGAAAAGTCCTAAGAACTGGCCCAAATTAATGTTGGCACTTGAGTATCTGAACTATTTTTCAGGCTTGTGTAAGGCTGGCAGCTATGCATTTGATATTAGTTCTTCAGAAACTAAAATAGTTTGAAGACTAGATCACTATAGCTATAATTTAACATAACAGTCAAAAGAGGAGAGCTAAGGCTTTTTTTAAGCCAAACCCTACTCACTGTTCAGTTAAACCATACTTTATTTGTATTCGGCTAAAACATCCCAGAAATAATAAAAGTTAAATTTTGCAGCAACATTATCAATTCTTCCTGCAGTCACATAGTGAAAATGCTTTCTCCAACTCTGGTTAAGCACACCAGGGAAAAATGTGTTCAATCAAGTATTTTTATGCTTGCAAATTGAATTAAGATAAAATAAATGAATAAGTCATTTTAGATTCCCAGTTGTTTAGACACAAACTTTAAGATCCCGCCATTCTTTTTTAATTACTTCTTTACGTTTTCCATGCAGTGTGTTACAACTGGCATCTAAATAGTTTCTTTGCATCATGAAGTGAAACATCTTGAATGCTCAAACTGTATTTTTATGAGTGCCTGGGGACGCTGAATTTTAGTGGTCTATTAAATGCCAGCAATTTCATGCTGCCTTGCATAAGACAGCATTCACATATCACAGACTAGTAGTTCCATAGCTACATTATATATGTATCCCCTCAACTTAAGTAAAAGTGGAGTTTTTTTAAAGCATACTATTCTCTTTTAGAAAAGCTATTTTTGCTGTAAATACATTAATTTGTGTTCTTCTGTTTTCTACATGGTGTTATGGATTTTAAATCCAAGATGTAGGAACCTAGGACAAACTTTCTCAAGAAGCTAATATTTCATACACAACACAAAATCATGTAACTGTAAACATACAGTTCTTTAGCAGTGACTACCCTGCATTAATTATCAAAGTTTGGTATTCTTATAGTTCCCTATTAAATCTTCTTACTGACTTCAGAATGTAGCCCTGTCCTCAACAGTTTACTCCCACTTTTCGTATTGTGTATATTAATCTCCTCTTACCTGGGAGTGTTATTCTTTTCAAAAAGAAGTCAAGTCCTATGGTTTGTTTGTATTGCTTCCCGAAAGCTTCTTGAGCAAAACGTGTGGCTAAGGAGGTCTAAAAACAGAACCACATCAGATTCAGTTGTTATCTTTAAAAGCAAGAAAATGAAATAAGACATAAAATAAAAAGTAGTTTTTAAATCAGTTATTCTGTTTGTTCCAGAACAATACTAAAGCAATTTCTAAAACAGAACAGATGCTTAAAATGAAAGATTCCTACCAAAAAATAATAAAATTCTTATTCTAAAACTAAATATTTTAATTTTAGAGAGAAATGTAATACTGTATATATTCATGCTAAAAAGGTATCTTCACATAATAGAAATATGCTAGGAAGCTGCCTTAAACTTAGTCAGACCTTAGGCTGTGTAGCTTAGTACTGTCTTAACTGACTGGCAGTGATCACCAGGATTTTCATATAACCTATCTGGAGATGCTACAGATTAAGCCTCAACCCTTTTGAATACAAAACTTCTACTCTACCACAGCTATGGTTCATTCCAGATCTTAACTTGATCATTTAGCATTGTAATAAGCAAAACATCTTTGAATGTTATTTGTATACAGTAGCACTGGGCAGGACAGAGAGGATTACACTAGCAAGAGGGCTTTTGACTTGCATTAGTTGAAGAATAGAAACTACCCAGAACCCAAGGAAGGTTAAAGTGCTTTGGGGGGGGGGGTGCAAAATCATTTATTAGATGACCAGGAGGTATATAATTCAAATTTTAAAGCATCTTGCTTAACACAAGCTCAGGGAGAAAACTGAATAAAAAAGATAGTAATTTAAGTAGCTGTACAGATTACAATGAATTGACCTATTTCCAGTTCAAGTCAGTTTTGCTTACGGACAAACTTAAGTCCTTTCTGTACCATTTTCTCTGATTTTTAAAATACACAAACATTCACACTTCGATTGGGCACATTTCTCCACAAAAATACATATTTGTGTGCATTTCTGAACCAAGAGCAGCTTCACAAAATTCTAAGTAGTATACAGTAGTATACTCTTGCATTTCATGCAATCTTTTTGGGTGAAATTTTATTTCCCCTGATTAAACTTGTTTTCATATACTAGGTCAATGGACTAAAAATAAGAAAACAGCAAGATTTTCAGCTCCTTCACCAAAATGTAACCATATGGAAGTACCAGAAGATAACCCCTGGCTCCTTCTGAAGAGAGTTCAAAATTGTGTGCACTGTATTATTTTGTTTCTGTTTCCCTGCAAATATTAATGTGTGCCCTTCAGTGACAGTCAAGTTGTAAATGTAAGTGTTTAGAGGATATACTTAGAATATAAGCAATAATTCTAATATATTAGTTGCCAGTTCCAAACACATTATAATATCTAAGTATTTGTTTCACTTTACATGAAACAGAGCTAGCTAAATTCAATAAAATCCATTTACTTAAAAAAAAAATAGCCCTTGCTATAGTCAGATTGTTGCTAATTTAAATTAAAGCATTCCTTTGAAGAACAAAAAATATATTATCTGCAGGTTGATAGTATTTATCAAAAAATTCTGTTTATTTTCCTCAATGTTTTCATTTCAATAAAAGACTATTCAGACAAAAAATCTCTTGAAATTTTTATTGGAAAAAATATTCCAAGCAGTATGAGAATATTTCATTATTTCAAAAATATAATATGGAAGATGTTTATAGAAATATTATATCGAAGAAAACCAAAAAAATAAGGATGACAAAATGGAAGAAAAACATGAACAAAGTCATCAGATTTGTTCTCACCCTCTAAACTTATTCCTACCTTTAACAACATTTCTTCTTTTTAATAGAAATATGTTTAAAAGTAAACATTTTTGGAAAATCAGAAACATTATATTCTATCACTGCATCTTAGGTTTAAGAATACTCTTAAATATTAACTTTATCAATATGTGATATTCAGTATTCCCTAAAAGGTTTCTAAAGGCATTAACGAAAACACACATTGGTCTAACAGCTGTCAATAAGAGGAAGAAGGTTTCAACAGCACAGCAATGTTTTCTCAAAACAACTTTCATTACCTCCTCTCCATAATGCAAAAGAGTGTATGGCAGAAAACCAGGAGCCCTGTCCCTTTTTAATTTTGTTCTTAATGCAATACCACACAGAACATACTATATCAACAACACTGGAAAAAAAATAAGATTTCTAACTAAGGTACAATAATATGTTTCCTCCAAATACAATAAGAACATAAGAAAAATCATGCTGGATCAGAACAATGGTCCATTGGGTCTAGCACCCAATTCATGTGTTAGCATCAGCATTTCAACAATAAATCAGTTGATCAAAACTAATATAACATTTGTTATTAGGTTTTTTTTAAAAGACTCTCAAATTTACAAGCCCCATTAGCTGTTTTGTGATTGTCATCAATGGTCCTCAATACAACTGAGTATAAGGCATTTATAAAACAATGCACACCATAACTATTTTTTTAAATCTGAAAAAAATCCAAATTAGATCTTATTATTTTTATCATGTTTATTTCATTAGAGTCTCAGTATTGCAAACTGTTGTCTTTTTTCAGCTTTAGGGGCCAATATGGCACACTCCAATATCCTGTTCTAGACTATAGTAAGCCTAGGTAGATAATGCTTGACAGTTTGAAAGAAATATCCTGAACTGAATGCTAAAGGGAGTTAAAACAAAGAGTTCACGTAACCTGCTCCCATTAGGAACAGCTGTATTGGGTATACATCATGATGATCAAGTATTGAGACCTTATTGAGTGTTTCAGCCTTTTCCATATAATCCTTACCATCTTTGATTTCTGTCATACAAATGAGATATCTACGAGGAGCGTTCAATGTATTCTCGGTATCAACATGAAGAAAAAGGAATAATAAACTGAAATAATTTTTATTTTTCAGTGTAATCCCCCATAACTTCAATATATTTATTACATCTAGAAATTAGCTTTTCAGTTCCCTGTAAAAAAAATACCCTTCCTTCTTGTCTAAAAAATGTGCATTAATTGCCGCCTTGAGCTCTTCATCATCGGAAAATGACTTTCCACGAAGATCTATTTTAAATTCGGGAATAGGTAGTAGACACTGGGGGCCAGGTCCAGGCTATAGGGTGGGTGGTTTATTTCTTCGAAACCACAGTCTCGCACAGCAGCCTTCGAAACACACGCCGTGTGAACGGGCGCATTGTCGTGAAGAAGTAACACACCTGCAGTCAGTTTTCCCTGCCTTTTTTCTTTAATCGCTTAAGTTACGCAGAGTGGTTGAGTAAGATGCTGCGTTTATGGTTTCCCCTTTTTTCGTGTACTCAATCAATAAAATTCCCTTTGAGTCCCAAAACACTGTGGCCATGATTTTTCCGGCCGATGGAGTGACTTTGAATTTCTTCGGAGGGTCAGCACCTTTTTTATGCCACTGCATGAACTCCTGCTTACTTTCAGGGTCATAGTGATGAACCCAAGTTTCATCTCCAGTAACAATCTGGGTGAAAATACTTGATGGATCTTCACCACAGAGCTCTAAAAACCCCCTACAGCACTCGACTCGCACTTGTTTCTGAGGCGCCATGAGCATTTGCAGCACCCATCTTGCACAGACCTTTGAAAGGTTAAGATGGTCATGAAAAATAGTAAATATGGTACCAATGGATAGGTTTGTCATCTCTGCTAACATTTTTATTTTTATTCGGGCATCTTCCAATACAAGTTTCTCATTTTTTTTCACATTTTCTTTCGTAGTGGCAGTAAGCGGCCCGCCCAAGCGAGGTTTGTCTTCAATGCTTTCTCTGCCCCTTTTAAATTCACCTGACCACTTTTAAACAGTAGATAATGAAGGTGCAGAGTCCTGGTAAACAGCCACCATCTCTTTGTGAATGATTTTTTGACTTTTTCCTTGTATTGGAAGGAACTTAATCACAGCGCAGTGCTCGATTTTCTTCAACATTGTCGCGTCAGTCCTCATGGTCGTCTTTCACTGAGGATTACTAGGGAACTAATGATCACACCTACTTGAAATTTTGCATGTATACCCTCAGATAGTGTCATTAGCTAATGAAATAATTACCACATCAATAGCAAATCAACCCGATACCAAGAATACATTGAACGCCCCTCGTAAGATTCAGACAGAGATGAGAAGGAGAAAGTAACATTCAACTATTTAAAATCTGTTCTATGTAAACTATTTTAATCTTAAAAGTGTTCATTCTATTAATGGTTATGTAAAGGGGTAAGTAATCATTCTCTAATCACCTGTCTGCCATATGATTTACTTATGCTTTCCCATAAGTCAGTGCGTTGCTTTAGTTCTCCCCTCTTGGTCTTTATCTAGTTAGAAAGTGGTGAATCTTTTTTCTACTAAGGATCACTAACTTCCAGGAAAAAAAATCAAACAGGGTCCATAGACATATATATTCAGAACACAGTCCTATGCATGTTTAAATGGAAATGTCCCTAAAACTCACAGCATTCCTCAGTAAGCAAATAGTTATGGCTCCCTCACAAGAATTCTTTAAACAGATGACAGAAAACCAAAGACCCAGAGACTTATGAATACTGTTGCTGGGCATTTATATTTATATAAACACATTTATATTTACTGAAAATAGTAACTACAGTGTTGAGATTGTTATGCTATGACAATTAACTTTCTTTTAATTGCTAATTAATTTTATTAAATTATGACATTCAGTGGCAGATTTCTCTTGTGCAGGTGCCATAATTACCAAAATATTTTAAAAGTAAGACACTTAGACACTTCATCATTCTTTGACAGTAATTGACCAAATTATTTCCCGTGCACTAATATGCATTGCCACCTCGTTACTTATATTAATAATGGGAAGTAACACAAGGTTCCATGGGTAGGTATGTACGTGTTTGTAACTCAATGAATTGATAGAAATATCTACCAGACCAAGGATCTGAGTCTTGGTGCTTCCTTCTAACATTTCCTAATTTCCTGTTTCAGGCAAACCATTGTTACTATTACAGCAAAACAACTAAACTAAAGTTTGCACTTTCTCTCCAAATCACAAACGGAGAGGCAACTAGAGATTTATATCCACTTGATCCACCAAGC